GAATTTGCTCTATCAGTGTGACTGTGCTCTTTGGATCTATTGAACTTTCCATGGACATAAGTAGGAGGCATTACTTTGAATGATCTATGCCCATCACCCCAGTTCACTAGGCCAAACAGTGGATGGGGAAGTCTGAGAGGCAAGGCACGCCTTATCTGCTTATGTATTCCTTTCCACCTTAAAGCATGAGATCTATGACAACAAGTTCAGTATGGCTGCCAGCCTCCTAATGATACCACATACCCTAATAAAGGCAAGAATTTGAAACACTGCCCACTTGATTACCCGGGCAATGAACACCTAGAAAACAACAAAACCTCATGGCACAGGGTCCCCAGCTCCTTGGCGTGAGGAGGTCACTGCTCACCTTGCGTTCACCTTGCAGTTTCAGAGCAGCACCAAGGATTTTAACAAGAAGGATGTGCAACTCTGCTTGAGGTCAGCACTGTTCACCTCTCAGCAGCACAAGCAAGCTGAGGCTTTCTGGAAACCTGCAGAAGCTGCTTTGTGCTCAAGCCCCTGGGACTACACAGCATTTCATTCTCCCCTTGATTTCCTAAATGCCGAAAGCCAGAATTCAGCTGTCAGCCCCAATCCAGCACAATACTAATGCTCTGAGAAGTCACACTTTAATGCACCACTTTAGCGTTTATCTAAGTTTCAGACAGACTAATTGTCTAACTTCCAGCCTGAAGGGTCTGAAAGCACTGAAAAGCACAGCAACACAGGTAACTATGGGAGATGTGCTCTGCAGAGAGTTGGCTAGAGCACTTCTGTGGGAGAGAAAAGCAGAGAATGTACTGTGTGTTGTAAAGAACTGCAAGAAGGGAAAGTGCCTCATCGGGAAAGAGAAACTTTGAAACTGTAAGGAGCAGGGTAGCAGGAGGACAAGGCTTCAGCTTCTTCCCCTCAGAGGTCAGCATTTCAAGGAGAGAGATCATCTCCCCTGCCATGTCTCAGCAGCTTTCTTGCCTTCTGCAGAAGAGACTGCTTCCTACTCCCAGAGGCAGGCAGCAGCTTGCTCCTCCTTTTCTGCCCAAACAGCTCATATTCCTGCTTCTGCAAGCTTCAGCACGCAGCATCTCCTCTCATGCAGGCTCCACCACCTTGCAAACAGTTAAGAGATAGGGACTGGAGAAGAGGTAAAGAACTTTCTCTCCTACTTGCATCTCTGCAGAACAACAAGTATGTAAAAACTTCCAGAGCTGTGCAGCCCTTTCCTGAGCTACTACGTTTTCTAGTCTTGTCGTCAGGGACAAGAGGAGGCAACTTTATCTGTAAACAGAGTTCACAAACACAATGTGGCACACTTCCATAGGCCCCACCACTGCTCACAGCAAACACACTGACCTGAATATTTTCTTCATTCTCAGCAAGCTTGGAGATAACATCAGGCTGAGTGATGCAGCTGACATGGTAGAAGGCAGGGATGCCATCCAGAGGAACCTGGACAAGCTTGAGAGATAGGCCCATGCCAACCTCAAGAAGTGAACCAAAGCCAAGTGCAAGGTCCTGGATCAGGGCAACCCCAAGCACAAAAACAGGTCAGGCAGAAAATGACTTGAGAGCAGCCTTGAGGAGAAGGATTTTGGTGTGCCATCTGATGAAAGACACGACAACGTGAGCCAGCAATGGGCGCTTGCAGCCCAGAAGGCCAACTGTATCCCAGGTTGCATCAAGAGAAATGTGACCAATTCTGCTCCTCTACTCTACTCTCATGAGATCACTCCTACAGTACTGCATCCAGTTCTAAGTCCCCCAAGACAAGAAGGACATTGAGCTGTTTGATGAAGTCCAGAGGAAGACCATGAAGAGGACCTGAGGGCTGGAGCACCTCACCTACAAGGATAGACTGAAAGTTGGGGCTCTTTACCTGGAGAAGAGAAGGCTCCATGGGAACCTTACAGCAATCTTCCAGTACCTGAAGGGAGCTTACAGGAAAACTGGGCCGGGACTTGTTAAAAGGGCAGGTAGCAACAGGACAAGGGAAAATGGCTTTAAACTGGAAGAGAGTAGATTCAGACTACAAATCAGGAATAAATTATTTACTGTGAAGGTGGTGAGACACTGGAACAAGCTGCCCAGAGAGCCTGTGGATGCCCCCCCTCCCTGTAAGCTTTCAAGGCCAGGGTGGATAGGGCTGTGGGCAACCTGGTATAGAGGGAGGTGCCCCTGCCTAGAGCAAGGGGTTGGAACTAGATGATCTTAAAGGCCTCTTCCAACTCAAATCATTTTGCGATTCTACTCAATCCAAAAGTCATTTGGATGCCAAAACTAGATTTCTATTCCTTAAAAAAAAAAAAAAAAAAAAAAAAAAAAAACCACAGCATTGATCACCTGAACATTGGAATGATTTATTTCTGAAAAGCTATGATAGCCTTATGCTATATTTCACTTCAGAATCCCGGCAGTTCTGAGCTCTGTTTTCAGTTTTTCTTATCTAGGACCACATTGGTTATGCCAAATCCTAAGCCCTTTCCCAGCTCTGGGACAGGATTTAGCCTAGAATATGTGCATCTGTGGTCCCTGCTCAGCTCCTGGAGTTTCACGTTTCCTCTGGGGGCAGTCTCATAAGAAAGACCACTTCACCTCAGAATTTTGCTGTTTTCTCCTCCTACCCTAAGGTAGGAAGCACCAGATCATACACCCTTTTATAAACAGAAAAGTAGTCAGACTGTTTTCTTCTTGGGCTCAACCACTAACAAGACGGAAAATAATTCTGAATGCTATGAAACATTGGCAGGAAGTAGAAAGTGGGTTTTATCCATGAAATGAACAGTTTAAGACATCTCCTTCATTTGTGGTATTTTCCACAAGAGCAGGGCTTTCCTTTTGCAAACATAGTTTTCTCCCATTACTTATTTCATTTGCCAGAAACAGAGCTTGCTCATGGCATGGAGAAAAGCAGCTAGGCTGCTGGAAGAGAGAGGCAAGAAGTATTTACTACGTGCAATACAAGCCTCCAGTTGAGTTAAACTTCTGCCACTGACTGATTAGCAACTGTATGATGACCAGAGTCAGACTCATGAATGACATGTGGTATACTGACTGTTCAGCCAGGCTTGAATCCTGAACATTTCCACTCAGAAATATATTTACATACATGGAAGACTGACACTGCAGTCCTATTACAGTAGTCAACACTTATTTGAGACAGTCAGAACTCCTCCCCCAGGGGTTTTCACATCAATATTCCTGCTCTGATCTCTCATTCCTTTCAGTGCAGCAATGCACAAAGAGAATGTACTAGGGCTGTTCTGAAAGTAACGCCTCCTATTTTATGATGTTGGCCTCGTGACATCAGAGGCAGATGGTGGTGGTATGGCAATAGAGGCTGAACATATCCCATTATATTCTGTTGCTGTGTGACAGATGACAGCAGAGGGGCAGTTTGGCAAAACGGTGTCTGACAAGCATATGAAACAAAGGTATGGAAATGAATTTTCCTCCATGCGGAAAAAATTGCACCCATTGACATTCATTGACACTTGCTGAACATTTATGGAGACCGAAGTGAGGATGTGAGCACTGTGAGGCAGCGGGTGGCACATTTCAGTAGAGGCAACAATGGGTCACCTCCACTGGCGCAGATCGTGGACAAGCACAGAATGCACACTCTTGTTAATGGATGATGAAAATGCACATCTAATGGTAGCAACCGTGTTGAAAAAGAGCATTGTGTAAGCTGAGAATTTGCTCTATCACATAGCATTATTGTGCTCTTTGTACCTATTGTCATTTCCATGGAAATACATAAGAGGCATTCATTTTGGAGCAACCTATTTATGTCTCTGTTCCTTTGACCAATAAACCATGACACACTACCTATGTGCTCACTTAAAATCCTAGTACAGAGCATTTGCACAAGCTTTTATGCATAGGCGAATACACACACCTTATCAGACTGATAAGGTACAGTTGTAGCAGTACTTTTTTTTTTTTTTTTAATATCAAAAAAGTTACAGGATGCTGAGGCAACACACACAAGGTTTCCTGAGAAAGAGACAGCTGCTAGTTTCACAACAGTCTTGCTATGTGCCTCAGAATGCAAAGACCTACAGAAGAACCAAGTTAATAGCAAAACTATCTTGTATCTAGTGACTGCAGTCAGCCTCCAATCATATGGAAGCCATGCCATGAAGGCAAAAATCAGACTTTAAATTCATGCAAATAAACTGTTTTAAGAGCAGGAACTAGGAATTCTCATTCCAAAAAGCAAGTCCATTCATAGATCAGTCCCAAACTGCAGCAGCCTGCAGCTCATAAGAGGACAGCTATTTAAGACCCCGTATCTTTTCTCTCTGAACACAAAGGGCCCATTCCTTAAGGTCTTGAGTTAGGCCTCTTCACAGCAGAGTCAGAGTAGCAGATTAGAGTAAAAAACAACTTTTCACCAGACTGCCCAGACTTAAAGAAACTCTGAAGCCAGTAAGATCCCAACAAGATGACCATAGCATCAAGCTGACAAAGTTCTTGGCTTCGCTCTCATCTAATTTGTTCCCAAAATACTGACTACTGTCATGGCTTAGCACCTTTAGAGTCTCACACAATGATTTTTTTTTTTTTTTTTTAATAACTTATACCAGTAACATCCCAACTAGAAGCAACTGCTGAATGGTGAACAGCTTTTCATTAAGTCACTGTTGCAGTCTACCTTATTTGCCCCAGAAGTATATATAGCCTCCTTTAAAAAAAAAATCCATGGCTTGAGTGCTGCCATCAAAAGCTTATTCAAATTCATACAAAACTGATAAACACAACCTATAGAAGTCCATATGAACCAATTTGTTACTAGCAAACACTGATCTTATTTCAGTTCAGTCTTCCTCATTCATGAATAAGGAAGTGGCAATATGAAAGGAGACCAGGGTTTCTTTTTTATTGCAAATCATTTGCTCCTGCAACATACAACAACTACTTTTGCAGAGGTAAATTGGGAAATTAACATTAATTTTACTTCCATTAACTGTAGCACAACATACAAACATTTCTATGAGCTTCCCATATACATCCTCGTTTTATCGCCGTGCAGCTCTACACTTCAATGCTTTTAAAGTTTTCTTCATGATTGGTGCAATCTCTTCAATAACAAGAAAACAAGAGAGACCAGTAAGGATTACAGCATCATACAAGTAATTTATGTGATAGTAGCATAATATTAAGCATATATTAATAGCCAGCTAGTTAAAGCAATTATTTTGATAATCTCTCCACTTACTTTTAATAGGCTTCTTTCCATCTTGAGTCATTCCATTTGAGCTAGAGCTTCCACTGCTGCTAGCAGAGTTCAGATTTGATGAATTATTGTTTCCATCTCTGCCTTCTGGAGACCTTTTTCTTTTAAAACCAGGAAATAAAAAAAAAAAATTATTTTAATTAAGTTACTAGTGGCTTTGTCTCATCTGGAGAAAAATGCTGGCAGTGTTTTAACAAGTTTGCTTCATCATCAGTAGTGTGGTATATATACAGTCATGGGATAACTCAGGTTAGAAGGAGTCCCGAGTGGTCATCCAGCCCATTTACACCCTTGCATAGATTTTCTCTGTTAGATATGCCTCTTATTTACCCTTAAAATTAAAAGATCAGACTATAATGGATCCAAATATTTAGCAACACCATGGTAATTCATGATGGTCCACATTCAATTCTTTCCTATTTGTCTTTCTGAACACAAATGAACTAGCTCTCTGCCAGAAAACAAGAGCAAAGTGACACTGTGAGTTTTCAGCTGTGCTTTGTTGTTGTTTTTAAGTTAGGAATGCCTAGAAAAAGGCACAATAACCCTAACTGTTAGGTTAGATATACCAGTCAACAGGACAAGGCCTGAGGTAACCACAGGAGGCATCATATCAGCTCTGTGCAGGACAGTTAAACCAACCCAGCATTTAGCTGCCAGCATGTCAGCAATCCAGGCAGCCTTGTATGCCTCAGGGCCAGTCATTAACGCCTGCTGCCAGTTAAACTACCACATGGCAAAATGCAAACAGCCTGCTGGGGATCTGCATGCCTGCCTCATGGCCCTCATAGCTCCTGCAAGTGAAGATTTCAGATGTACACAGTAAAACTGATGGAAGATTTTCAGAGAACGTGCTCAACGAAGTGAAGTTAATACATCTTGCCTAAACAAACTCATGCTTCTTAAAAAGGCAAATTAGCAACCCTACTTACAGCTTCTTTCACACAACAGCAGATCCTCCTAGTTTATGATATGCGAATACATCGTTCAGTTGCTGGAGCAGAAAGGACATTTACATTACTGTACCTGAAGCACCAAACCAGAAGGCTAATCTGTCACAGATGCAACCTCCCACAAGTTCACTGAAAGCAGAAGCTGCATTCAAAGTGCTTTCACCTACTATATTGGTGGCAGGCTATTTTCTCACTGGTAAGAGGATTTAGAAAGAACCTTCCTAATTTAATCACCCAAAGGTACAGCGGTGAAAAGGTCATCTTTGGTATAAAAGCTTGTTTTAATAATTTCATACATGTGGGCTTTTGTTCCTGCCCCATGTCAGCACCATCTCAAACAGTAAGGCAGATGGCTCAGTAAATCAAGTTCCTGAAATCAGCAGACTTTGTTCTAATATACTTTCCCAGTGTTCTGTAGGTGGCTTTTTTGTTGTTTGGTTTTTGGGTGTTTTTCTCCCCTGTAAGCCTAGGTCAGTTTGCTTATCTACTTCAGAGTCTTAGGCACAGAAACAATTACTCAGCATGACTACAGGCCCTGCAGTACAAGGACAGAAGCTATCTGAAAGCAATTCTGCTGACATTGTTATAGTAAGTTAGATCAAGCCTTATCCTTGCAACAGCTGAGGTTTTATACTCCCAATTCCCAGTTGTCACTTTACACTCACATATTCAGCAGCCTGCATGACTGTTGGCAAATTCAGAGTAACCAAGAACAATTAGAACAGTTTTCACACAGAAATGATCATTTTGACAGAGCTAGTTGCAGAACAGCTTTGTCAGCATGGGGACACCCGGACACTACGGAGAAAAGGGAGAGTGCAATGCTCAGCCACAGGCACAGCAAAGAAAGGGACCACAGCGCAAGATTCACACTGCCTGAAAACAGGTATGTTTTTCCTTTTGGACAAGAGCAGATCAAAGCAAAAAAGTGTCTTCATATAGTTGAGAAGGCAGTTGAAGCTGGTGCCACAGCTGGTTTATCTCCCTATTACAGCCATTTTCTTGGGTGTAAGAGGAAATCATTAGGCCAGGAGAAATGGCAGGACAAACCCCACAGCTCTTTTTTAGCTGTAGAACTGCCGTGAACTAAGAGGTCAGAAACAAATAACAGAAATATTTGAGGAATCCTAATTTCCTGTTCCTCCAGAGATTAGTGTTAGCTGCTGCTACTGGACAGTCTGTTCCAGAGCAAAAGCCCAATCAAGTGTGTTAATGGCTGTTGAGATTCTCTCTGGTTAGCTCCATCACTCTAGGACCTTATGCTAATAGAAGAATATGCAAGACTACTAAGCAGGTTTACAAATACAAAACATCAGCGCTGGGGATCTCCCTAGGATGTCAAGCAGCATTAATGTAACCTACAGAAAAACAGTGGCCACTGACTCTTCAGCTGGGAGGATGAATTCATCAGCAACACACGGAGAAATATGCAATGACAACACATACACAGCAGAGCAGCAGACCAGACTTAAAAGGGAGTTATTTTCTAGCCACAAGCTGCTTAAGGAAGTGAACAGAGAGCTATGCATGACTTCAAAAATATTTTGCCAGCAAGTTTTTGTACTGGCATAGATGTCTCATCTCCAATTAAAAGCGCAGTACAGAGCACTTACTTCCACTTATCTATGACATGAAGTTGGGTGGCAGATCCTGCTGTTCCATGGATTCCCTGCTGTCGGCGAATGCTTCTGGGTGGCTTTGCTGCACTGGTCACATAAGCCATCTTTACTTGCCGGCCTAATGCAGAAGCAAGGAGCAGAAGAAGTGTGACTTCCCCCCCCGCCCCCATTTTCTATGTTCAAAACTCAGTTAAGAACATGACTGTGAGCCAATTTCTAAAAGTCTAACCAGTAAAGTAAGTCAGGCTTGTCTACAACATGCTGCACATATTACACATTAACACGCTGTATCAATGCATGCACTCATTTTGTGTGCATCCTTACTTGATGCCTTCTCTTAGATATACAGCATCAGTGATTAGAGCAAACATGTCATTAAGTCTCACATAGTAAGTCTTAAGAACAGAAGAGAGTGAGCGAGCTTTGAGAACTAAAAAGCTGTCCACAGATATTACCTTTCGGTTTCTCAGACTGAGCTGAAAGAATGTTTTTTGTAAGCATCTTCAGCTTTTCTTCTCTCTCATTGAAGAGTCTCAAGTACATTTCCCGCCAACATTCATATTCCAGGAGGCTCTCATTTTTAAAATCCCTCTGGCAGTGTTTCTTCCACAGGTGGTCAGACTCTTCTGTAAACGTCTTAGTTTGAACACAAGGTATTTTAAATCAAGATTTTTAAAGCAACATTTCTAAGCATACCTGCTTAGCTGAGACTGTAGACAAAGCCAGATCACCTGATGGAGTGCAGAACAGATCCCACCAGATGTGCTCTCACATGACTGGGCATGACATAGAGTGCCATAGAGAGATGCCACCTTCAGCTTAGACATCCTGTAGCTCCAGCAGGGCTCTCTGGGTTAATGAGCTGTGCTTTCAGACTACATTTGTGTTTCCAGCACAGGCTCAGGCCATACCAGCTCTCAACTTCAGACATGCAGAGAAGTGATCAAGTTGCACCACAGAGTGCTACACACTTAAAACACCTATGTCCAAACACATCACGGGGCCAAAAGCTTAGCACTGTACATGACAGACCGAGCACATGCAAACTGGGAAGTACCTGTGGTGACATTTCATATGTGCTTTGCAATCTTTGCTGCTTTTAAACCTGAAAACACTTGGTCCTACTGTGCCTGCCAAATATTATGTCCTTGTTGTTGACTTTTCCCCCCTCCCCCTCTTATTTTCAGGAAATAAAAATACTTTTATTACCCACAATGACTTTCATTTAGACTTCAGTAATAATTCTCTCAAATGCTTTAAGTCCTAATAGTTGAGAAAGAAATAAGTGTATCAGGCACAAAAAAAAAAAAAAAAAAGTAAGCCACTGAAGAACCTCTATCAGAAGGGGTGCAGGGAAGGCAGACAGATGCCCAGTCTCCTCTGTGATTCCCTGATATTAACAAGGCAGAATTTACCGGATTACATTCCTCTACTCGCAACAACTGCTCTGGTGTGCAACGTGTTAGCACAGGCTCGAGGATCTCAAAGGGAACACCTCCTACTTCGTGCAGCACTACAACAGAGGACAGCACTCAGAATAGCTGGCATGTTTTACTCGGTGTGTAGCACCCCTTACCAAGCAGTTTAAAAATAAAAATAAAATCATAGCAAAAACAGAAGAACATGAGTTTTTAAGTCAGAGTATGAAAATACTTGATTTCAACAGACCCAAACTGACTGGCAGCAATACATGAGGATGGAATAAGCATCCTGGAATAGTTGCTGCCCCATCTTTACTGATAGGCATCACTCCCCTCTCTGCATACATAACAGAATGAACGACTTCTTGATCGCTCATTCTAGTTTACACAAACAGACATTTTGAAGGGAAGTCAGGTGCTGTGGGTTTTTTTGGCTTTACAGGACCTCGTATTTTAACTAACAATTGGATCTTTTTTTTGAAGTTAAGCCTTCAGAACAAAGTTACATTTCAACATGATTACAAATCCAGTTTTATAAGTGCCTTTTGGTCTGCTCTGCCATTGTCTGTAGGGAGGGACAACGTCTATCTTCTAGAAGGCCAGCCTGGGCACAGAGAAAGAAAATAAATCAGATACTCATTCAGCACAGCCTGCTACAAAGCTCTTAAAATACTCACAGTCAATATTATTTTGAAGCACACGGATGCACAGCTCATACAGTGTAAGCATCTTTGAAAGACAGACTGGTTTAGAGCCAGAGTAGACTTGCATCTTGGAGTTCAGTCTCCGTCCTGTGAATTGAACTATCTCACCGACTTGTTGGTGTGCTTCCACTACAGGCTCTAGGGGAGTCAACAAGAAAACATCAGCCAGGGTTTCCTTTACCTTCAGGCACATTACAAGGCTTTAACCATCCAGCTTTCAGAGAAATGGCTGTTAGTACACACAAATATTCATGTTTGTTTTGTTTTTTAAATAATGTACCTGTGTTGCAGTTCAGAGCCCTCATGACAGCAACTAACATCTAACAGCAAGACAGCAACTATGTTGAAAGTGTAATGCAAAGTGTAATTTGTGCTGCACAAACTCACATTAGGCTCACATTACTTAGCTCAGGACAACTTGTATCAACTTTTGCATCTGGATGCTTAGAATTACATGAGCTGTACTGATATCTGGGTAACTTCAAGCCACTAGTGCATCACATTCTATTGACCCTGGGAAGCCAGAAGGTGTAACAGCAATGATACTTCAAGACCATGGGGATGTGAAGTTCACTGAAACCTCACAGGAGCTGTGAGGGGAAACCACTGGCACTTTGTGCCACCTACAAGTAAGGATGCAGCCAGCTCCTCTGCTGAAGACAGAACTGGTTTTTCCCTAAGACAATTCCTACTAGGGCTTTACCCCCATGATAAGGCATAGATAGACTGGAGCAAAGATAAATGGAGGCTGTAGAACGACTACCTGACCTACATCTCCTATACCTCCATGGTAATCTTTTACAGCATTTCTTCATCTAGAAAGCTGTAAGAGGGAAGCCATTATATCTCCCTTCAGATTCAAAACTAGTTTCGCAGAAAAGTAATTGAAAGAAAGGTGGTTCTTCATCACAGAGAGAGGAGCTAACACAGCTTATTAGGAAAGGAGATGAAGACAGCCATAGCTAGAGATGTAAAAACGTGCTGTTTCAGATTTCTGAGCATTGCATACTACTTACCTTTAAAGTCAGCAGCATATGGGGGAGAGGAGATTAAGATGCCTGGCAGAAATTTAGGCAGCGGAGTATTAAGAAGATCTTGGAGGGATCCCACCTTGGCCTGTGCACAGTCAAGAAAACATTGCTTTGTTGTTACAAATTTGGGTTTACCGAGGCTTAAAATAAAGTACAGAAAAAGATTAAGTGAGACCAAAAGTTACCTACAGTAACTACTAAACTACTGCTTCTCTGCACTAAAATTCACTCACTGCATTGCTTCCATGCATATTCTTCCATGCTCTACCACCAATACTACATCACTGAAGGAACTTAGTGGGATATCTGCAGACAGTGCATAATCAGCAATTAAAGAAAGGAACAAATGTGTTCAGCTAACAGGCTTACAGATAAATTGCTACTTGAGGTTATAGGCATGCAGTGAACAAGACAAAACTGCGAGATGACAAAAACAGGTTAAATGCTTAAAGGCAAGCTAAATACCACGCTGGAGAAAAAAGCAAGAAACAGCTTTAGAGCTGGTACTCCCTACCCTCCCATACTGTGCTTGATAAGCCACATAGTCTGAAGTCCTCCTGGATATACCCCTTAAAAAGGTGATTTAAAAGCTCAGGAATCTGGTAAGTGCTTCCACCAACATCCACCATTTTGGACAACGCCTAAATCAGGTCTTGGGCATCTCCTGGTTGTAAGCCAGGCGCTTAGAACCCAGAAGCTGCATCCCCCCAAACTTTATTGCAGCTATCTTTAATAACTTTTCAAAACAAAAGCAAGATTCCTTGCTCAACTTTCCCTCAATTCCCAAGCTTATGCTGGAGTATCATGCACAAGCCTCTATATTAATATTTCTCCATTGGCATAGAAGATGTCACATTTGTACTGCAGATCCTTCACAAAACAGAGAACCCCCAAAGCTTTCATATCACAATCATGATAAGAGATCCAAGAGACCTCAAATTCCCTCTGCACAAGCAGCTTCTTACAAAAGACCTAAATCATAAAGCATGTTTACTTAGTTTACTTTAATGCATTACAAGTTTGTTTGTTCCCAATGCAGATCTAACTAATAAAGAGCTGCAGCTTCTTACAGAACAGCTGTGTCACGCGCAAACATCTGCTGCAACCATAAACTAAGCCAGTCAAGAGTGAAGCTGTGGGTAAAAAGCAGACTGGCAGATATTGATCAAAGACCACTGCCAGATAGGAAACAGCTGAAAAATGAGACAAATTGATTAAAACTGTCAGTACACAACAAATCTTTTCTGCCCAAATTATCCATAAATATTGGCCAATACAATGCAATTTATGTCAAAACCACACAATCTGTTCTTGAAATAAACATAGCTGAATTTCACTGAAAGAGGCTGGAACTCTTATTTGTCTGCAGTTGGTCTGCTTTCATCTCAATTGCACAGTGGTTTACCTTTTTGCTGGGAGTTCCTGACTGATCATCTTCAGAGTTTTGTACTTTTTCTTCTCCCTCATTTGCGTGAGAAAGCGTTGAAGTCTTTTGTGGTAATGAGCTGCTCTTCTGTTTACTGCACTTCTCTGGACGTTCACTTGCAGAACAAGCTTTCCTCTTTCTCTTTTTTGTAACCTGATCATAATTCAGGTAAGATTCAAAAGACATAGTAGGGGGCTCAAATTCCTCATCACCAGATAATTCGGCTTTGCTTCTCACAGCAAGTTTTTCTTTCAGTTTCGTCACAATCTTAGCATCTCTCTGTTTGGAAGCATCCTTAGGCTTCTCCTTCTTTGGGAAGGAGTCTTTACCAGCTATACAAGAACGCTGCTTTTCTGGAGCTCTCCTGTCCTTGGAGGCTCTCTTTTTACAGTCACTCTCTTTAGCTTGAGGACTTGTCTCCAGGAAATTATGTTTAGAACCACTGCCATGACATCTTCTGTTATCATGGTCTTTTCGAGACTCAGAGTCTCTATTTCGGTGCTTTTCTTCAATACAGTTACGCTGCTTGTTCAACTTTCTAGATACGGACGAGCTACTGGAACTTTGGGAGGCTGCTACAGATGTTTTGGACTTCTCTGAAGGCTTTCCTTCCTTGGAAACTGAAGATTTTGTCTCATCTTTTTCAACGTTTTGTTTTCTTTCTCTGTGACCATTGCAACACAAAGGGAATTACACCCCATATACCCCAAGCAGATGTTAAATCCTTGAAGAAACAGCCTTTTTATTTAATAAAACAAAAGCATTAAATCACATCACATGGCATAATTCTTACAGGACTTGAAGTTTGAGTGCTGACTGGCTAATGGATCAAAGCAGTCACCGGTTTGTTTTCTAGTTATTCTGTAAAAGTAACATTCATTTCTGTGATTCTGTTTATGGGTTTGTCACAATGTATATTTGTCATACCAAATACTTTTCTAAGATCTCCAAGTTCTATTGTATTAAATTACACTGCAGTATAATTAACCCCTCAAAAAAAAAAAAAAAAAAAAAAAAAAAAAGCAAGTTCACACCTACCTTTTGTTTTCTGGAGGAATGAGCTTTTTCCATTTCTTTACCAGGGATTTAGCTGCATTTCCAGCAGTGGCATGTTTCCTAAAACTGTTAACTGTTTTGCCTATGCCAGTTTCCTGTTAGAGAAAAGTACAAGAAAGATGAGTGAAACCAATCACAGAGAGCATCCCAAGTAAAACCACCTCTAAAACTGTTACAAACCATATAAGCATGGAAGTTTCAGTAGTCTTATGGCAGCTAAATAAGCACAGGCACTGCACTACAGGCAGAACTGAAAGCAAGGGATATAATTACAACCAAATATGGGGAACAAAAAATAGCCTTAGTTCATAAAGCCACTTTTCTCCATTAAATGTATGTACATCAGAACTTTCACTTTGTCTGAACACTTATGCCCACAAAATGATTACTGCTAAAGTAAACTAATTTAATCAATTCAGGTCTTCTTCAGGCTTATATATGTACAGTGTAGCATATTAGACAGCGCATATGAGCACTGTACTGTAATCAAAAAACAATCTCAGAGAGGAGTATTACAAGACAGAGGTGCCAGAGAAGGAGAGTTCATATGAGTAACCTCAGTCACAGCTACAGAATAAACCCTTGATATTTAAGATCCACCACATTCACTGTTCTACACTTCAGTTATTTTCACATCGTTGTTGAGCCTTCAGATCTTGCTCTGCTGAGTTCCATGTTGTCTGAGCAGAACTATCCTGCAAACTTTTTGGCTATATAGTCACCACGGGTGAATTTTTCAATCCTGTGCCACCTCTGATTCACAAGCTCTCACTTAAGATGCATGCAAACTCTGGAATTTAAGTCAACAGCAATCTAGTACTGCTCTTGCTTACTAGTTAAGGGATGCTCCTGTAAGTTGTGAAGGGTGGTAGTTCACCTCTCTCCCATTGCTCAGAGGGCTAGCTGGGCATCGGTTGGGGGTGGCGAGCAATTGTTTGTGCATTACCTGTTATATACACATTTATATATACATATATAAATATATATGTATATAGATTAGTCATAGATTTTTATTAATATATACACTCAATTATTTATCCTTTTCCTTTTCTCTGCTTCCATAAACTGTTTCATCTCAATCTACTAGTCCCATCCCACTGGGAAGAAGGGGAAGAAGTGAGTGAACACTTGTGTGGTGCTCAGCCACCTGCCAGGTCAAACCACAGCACCATGCCAGTGCACATTTACATTCCTAGAAGAGCTTTAAATAAATACATGGGACCTTCAATTGTTTAATAACTCTTTCCTCTACTTCTCTTGAAGGCTTCCATCGCAGTGTATCACACTGTAGCACGCAAGCATGCTGGAAACATCAGTTGCCTATGGAAGTCCTTTGTCATTTTAAAAAAATTTACAATTCACATGAAGATTACTTCATTTTCCAAAATAAATACCAAAATATTGCTGTATCCTAGCAGAAGCCATCTGCCCTTAGGCAGGTGAATGCCTTTGCCTAAATAAGCTGGCCAAATACTTAGCATATTTTTCTCTTATTCTGCAAAGAGCTCTCTCACAACACACATTTTTCCTCTTTCCAACATACAAACATATTGCCAAAGTAACCAGGAGCTTCCTAAACCAGTGTGAGAATTTCCAGGGCAAAACCTGACAGGATGTAGCTTGGGTAAGGACACAAAAGAGAAGTATTGCTATAACTTGGGACACCTGCTCTTTAAATGCAAGATGCTAACCCAGGGCAGCTAGTTAGAGACACATTTAGGCAACGGACCTAATCAATCACCCACAATTGTTTCATCTTAAGCACTGATCTGAAAGCAATTGTAAAGCAAAAGGAAACCAGCCTTAAATGGCAAAGTTTCCTCTAGACATTCAGATCTGCTCAGTACTAACACTGCTGCTCCAATGCTGCATTTGTCAAGTTGCACAGTTTCTGGAGAAGTCTCCAGAGCTTGTTATACAGAGTTCTAAATGAACAATGGCTAAGAGTCAGAACTACAAGATGTAACACTGCACACTGCTTCTGGGACAGCACATCCCTGAATTTTGAACTCTTCCATAGTCATTCACTGTGTAAGGTTATTACTGGTCACTTACTGTTAGAATATCCAGTGATATATCCAAATCCTGTAGTAGCTCAAGTACTTTTAGAATCTGGAAGGAAATATTCAAATTTTATTATATTCAGACATACGACTGTAAATCCTGTCCTGCTTTTCCTCATCCCCATTGCTGTGTTTAAACAATAAAGCTTGAGTAACAGCCAGTAAATCCAGGAAAATGTGAGCACGTATGTGTAGTGTAGGAGTGCAATATAAGAAGTCTGTGCTGTGAACCAGTGCTGTTCTGCTATACCCCAAACTGCAGTAGCGCCAGAAAATCCAATAAGTATGAACTTAGTACTACAGCGATTACATTAGAGATCAATAACACAGCAGCACATGCTGCATACACGGCCCACTCCTGTTATGTCAGTGACCCTGCTCCAACACAGAGCTCATTCAAAGGCTGCGCTATGGAGAAACAGGACCTTGCAGAAAGCAGGGAGCCTCCACTCTCCTTCACCATTCAAGGCCAAGAGGAACCGAGCCCCAAGGCGTTCAGTGTGAAAAACAACAGGTTTTGAATCCTTAACTGCTGTTTGTATGCTAATAAGACCAAATCAAGCTACAACAGCTGTTGTTTCACACCAGCAGAGCATGTAGTTTTGATTAAATGCTGCTGTTGTGTGTTTGCTTTTTTTTTTTTTTATAAGTAGGAATGTATTTTTCAAATACATACTAAATGGCCCATTTTCTTTTGAGAGGGTTTTTTAAAAAAAGAAATACAGAAGTTCCATTTGTAAACAGAGTATGAATTTCTTTGATGATGGGTCAGCAGCACACCTGAGTCTTGTGTTTGAGTACACACAATTTGCCTTATCCTTCACAAACACCTACGAAGCTGTGTTATGCAATGACAAAATTAATGTGTTACTGAAATTACAGGATGTTGTAGAGCTCCAGCAAAGCCTGGAACACTTATCTGGGTTTTCAGATCATTACCACTTCTAAATGCAATGGCAGGAGCCTGCTGGAATGCAAAGATAATAATCCAAAAGCTTTTTGAACTTCAGTAATAGCAATGATGGTTTAAGTAACAAATGCCAGAATAACTGCCATTTAGCAGATTAGATACTGCTACTTTGCAGGAGGCAAAGGGTAGTAAAAATAAGTGAGCAGCACTGTTTATGAAAAAGTTACAAACTATATTACAGGGTTGTTTTTCTCCACAAAGATTCCCTGTTCACTGCAGGGGAGTTGGACTCAATGGCCTTCAGAGGTCCCTTCCAACTCTAAGGATTCTGTGATAAACCTCCTATTCCTGGAGTACGCTGGAAGCAGAGTATCACTGAACTTCGTTGTGCAGAGGCTCTATCAGCATATCTGGCATGCAGTTCTTCCTCTCACACACCTGTGCTGCAGTACAGTTACTGAAATCTGAAGAACTTCAAGAGAAATGTTGCACAGCCTAGCAAGAAATTAAAACCAGTTTTCCATCTCAGGAGAATGGCTCATCCTCCTCAGGATGTTACAAGCTTGATGGTTACCTTGCCCTGGACTCTTCACTGATCCACCCACGAGCTGAAGACCTATCCTAAAATAACCCCAACAGGAAAAAAATATACGCTGCAAAGATGCTTATGAAGTTCAGTAATTGCTGACAATGCTAATCACAAGCATTAAAAACTAAGTTATTAGTGTCAATTTTAGCTAATTTAGTTCATTATTAACATTATATTCATTCAATTTATTTTGCAACCAGAAGGAAGTAACCCATTGCTGAGCAGGTACATTTCACTCTGTAGGCGGACTAGATAATCAAGCAGTACAAATCACTGGGAATAAATCCCACAGAGACACACCACAATGCTAAAAGATGTTGTCATCAAGCTACAGAGACAATGGGGATTTGGAGCATTTTCTCTCGAGGGGTTAATTTATAAAGCTGAGTTCATTTCAGAAGAATCTCTGAAACAGATTCAGGAAGCAAGCAATTACTACTCATACAGCTTCAGAATAGGCTGTGTTGTACAAGTACCCAGATGACAAGCAGGTCTGAAAACAGTCAGCACGTCTTCATGAAAGACAAAGCTTCCAGTGTTTTCTAAGACAAAGTCCACACTGCTCAGTTTGCTTTCCTGAGATGTATATCACATTTGCAGAAGTAAGACAAAACACAAGAGTTTCATTAAGAAGAAAACACAAAGCAATTACCAAGTGCTAGAAGTCCCTAGAAGAGAAGCACTGGTCTCGTGAGAGCAGGGCACAGCTCAGCCTGCTGCAAGACCTGCAGCCACACACCTGAGGGACTGCTGAAGGAGAGAGCTCTGCCCGCCTGCATTCACAGCGTGAATGGACAGAAGCACGGCCTCACAGACAAACGGACAGCCAGCACACACATGCCAACAGAGCAAGCTGTGATGAAGGAGAGGAGGCATCTGGAAGCAGAGGACAAAGGCAAGAAGCACGTGACCAGCTTTCTGGAGTGAAAACTGAAAGCAGAGCAGTGATAAGAACAGGGCCAGGTGCACCAGGTATGTCTGCTCCCAGCAGACCTCCTGCACAGAGCCCTGGCATCACCTCCCTTCTGGCTGAGCCAGACCCTCAGAAGGATGGGGCCCACTACAGGCCCCCAGTGCCCAGTGACTCATTTCATCTCACCACAACTACTTTTCTTTTCCTCCCTCCTCTTCCTCACGCTTCAAAGGGTTCCTTATGATTGTTTAGCCTGTTCTTCTCACTAACAGAGATCATCACATTCCAGCCAGTTGTGAATCTACATCAAGACCTCCTGAAAGAGCACTGCCCAGAGAGCCTTTGGATGCTCCCTCTCTGGATGCACTCAAGGCCAGGCTGGATGGGGCTGTGAGCAACCTGGAGGTGTCCCTGCCTGTAGCACAGGGGTTGGAACTACATGATCTTCAAGGTCTCTTCCAACTCAAACCTATGATTCTGTGATTAAAGATATTAGAAAACCCGGTGCAATCCCAAGTGAGGCACTTGTATGATATGCTCAGTTGTCCTCACTAAATAACCCTGTTTCCAGATAAATAAAAAGTATAGCTTTGCTTTCAACCATTGACTCTCATTATCTTTCTGCTAACTGACAGGGTATAAGATTACCTTTTCCACAGCTTTAGGGCCAAACAGATTGAGTTCTCGAGCTTCAGAAGCTGTGCTAGCCATAATTACAGCCATTCTGTTGCCATTGAAAAAAAAAATCTTTTCAGCTTGAAACAGCTTTTTTTTTTTTTTTTAATAACAGCTCCCAGAGCAAGACATAATATTCCTGTAATATTCCTAAAATTATATGGGAGTAGTAACAACATAAACTAACAAATGCTAACTACCCAAAGATAGCATTTATTCCATCAGCCATTGCATTGTACTGCAATTTCATGCTCAAGCGTTAACACATCAGAGCTCCAAATCATTTTCTGAGTCAGTGCTTTCCAAAATACAGTCTCCTATCTGGAATGACCTATATTCATGGCTTCTAGCTGTGACTTTCCACTGAGCCATGTTAAAATGCATGCTGCTCAAATGAGCACAGCCTTGCACGTGATCAAGGCTGCTCAAATTCTTCGTTATTTGATGCAAAGTTACTTTTGTACTTGTAACATTTTACTGCAATGCTTGCTGTCTTCTAAATTAAGAAAGATTTGAGTAAGATCCAGTCAAGAAGAGATGCGTAATCACTTCCCCCCCAAAAAAACATTTCTTTCTGATGAGGGCTGTCACTTATTTTTGCTGAGAGCAATTTCAGTCCATTTTATGTATTGCATCAGGTATGTAACACTGCTACAGTAACCAACATCATAGCAGCAAGTCAAATGCTTTAAGAGATTTTATATACATTTGTGACAGGTAGTATCAGCTGAATACAAAATGAATTTGGTGGTACACATCTACATGAACTCTCGTCAAGTGGCACTGATCATAGCACCAAGCTTTAATTTTACACCAGTTGCACCTTACATGCAACATTTCACAGCTGCTCATTAAAATGCTTCACAGTCTTCAGTGGGACAACAGCACAAAGAAACAGTTTTGGTTTTGGTTTCTTTTTCCAGACCTGATGAACTCCTCTACTTTCTTAAGGCTCATTTAATACCTTAATCACCAGTTCTGAACATTTTTTGGTCAGTTCTTTCTCTCCAGAGTAGCCATCAAACCTGACACACTGCAAAGCTTTTAAGATGAACAGCTGATGTTCTGAATCCTTCCTGGTTCCTGTCATACCCAAGTACTTTGTAGTTAGTAAGAACAGTGACAAAATCAGACAAAGAAGCATGAAAAGAAATACTCAGCAACACCAACACCTACCTGCGATACTAATTTATTAATCTTTCTGCACTTATTTAAAACATTCCTCTTTACCTTTAAATATGCCACAAATGTTTTCTTACTAGACTTACCTTTTATTACTAGCACAGTTCATGCCTGCCAATTTCCAGTTATCAGTTTCTCCCTTCCCTCCTCCTTATCCCTTGCTACTTATAGCTATTTCTATCTCACCAGACACAGCTCTACCAAGGCCTGCAGAAGTGCTACAGCACCACCATTAGACCCAGCTGACACAGCTTTTGCTTTTAGCTCATACGAGGTAAAAACTATGCATCTCCTCGCTTACAGAGTCAAATCCACCTCACCAGGGCCATCCACATTTTTGTCTCTTAAGCTGTCTGTGCTTTAAAAGCCCTTAAGGAGTTACTTCTGGAATCGTTTCTCTCTTCTCCCTTCCCATCTTCTGTTCAGAACTGTATATCAACACTAAAGTTTAGATATAAGGAAAAGATTCTTTTACAGTGAGGCTGCTGAGGCACTGGAACAGGTCACCTCATCTTATGGCTGACGCCCCATCCCTGGAGACTTTCAAGGTGAGGCTGGATCAGGCCCTGGGCAACCAGATCTAGCTGTGGTGTCCCTGTTCATCACAGGGGAATAGATGGCCCTCAGAGGCACCTTTCAACTCTAGGGATTCTATCAATCATAAACAAATTGTAAAGACTAAAATCTGATCATTTCTGTAGCACAAGAACTGCAAGGTCAAACATCTGCACACAGGTATTTCATTTGACAGAAAAAGCTTATAGAATCGGCATTAGGAAGACAAATCATTAGTGGCTAATAAAAACATTTTTCAATATGTATAAACACACACAGTAGATCTGAACATAGTAATGAAGATTTTTTAAGTTTATTACCCACCAAGGACAACGCAAATTAAGCACTCTTCGCCTCCAAGTCCTTTCACAAACTTGCATCAACTTCCAAAACCCCGCAAACCGACCAACCCACCACCAAAGCGTGCTTTTTATTTTCAGCTAGAATTCAGCCCGTCAAGAAGCTCTGGTTTGGTTGCTTATCTTTACAGTCCCTTTTGAGTACACTATCTTTTGTCAAACGACGTTCACTAGGAAACAGCCTGCCAGATTCCTGCATCGCTCCCACAGGGAGTGCCTTCTCTCCTTCTCCCCTCTCCGTGCCTCAAAACCTGAGGAGGGCCCATCTTACGTGGCCCTGAACCACTCTGAACGGATGCATTCTTAGTGCAGGTGCCCCTTATCTGCTTCCTGCAGCTACAGAGCAGCCCTGCTCTCCCTCAGGTAGCTTAATTCCTCCCAGGTAGGAGAGCAGCCCTATTCTCCCCCATACCAGGGCCATGAACGCAGGATGTATCAGATCCCACACTGCGCACCATCAGAGCGCACCCGGAACGCTTCTCTCACTGCGAGAAGCCCTTAGGAACACAGCACGGAGCACCGCCGCAGCTCAGCTCTGGATCTCCAGCCAGGGCAGGACCTGACAGCACCGCTGCCGCACAGCGCGCTCCAGGCACGGCAGCGCTGTACCCAGTATTCAACCTTTCTCCTTGACGCCGCCCTAACAAGCTCTAACAGGCCCAGCAGCCTCGACTCAGCTACCTCCGCAGGCTCCTCCGCGCGGCTCAGACGCGACTTGAGCGCCCGCACGCTGCTCCGCACCGCGCTCCGCCCCTCCGCCATCGCCGCGGCCCAGAGCCCCGTCCCTCCCCCGCTCGCCCCACTTGTAGCCCAAGGGCGGTGCCTCCCCGCCCCGGCCTCGCCCTCCCGTCCCGAGGCGGGGCCGCAGTGCGCTGCCCGACCCGCAGGGGGAGCGCCCGGCCGCTCCGATGCTGCCTCCGGGCTACCTGCCCGCCGGATGCTCTGCTGGGCCCGGGGATTGCTTGGCCATGGGGCGCAGCGGGATGGATTCTTCATGAGACCTCGCAGAGAGAGATCTCAACACAGTGGAAGGCTTGCAGCCACTCACCACATGGAGTTTAACATGAGTGAACGCTGGATTTTGTGCCTGGGACATAGCAACCCCAGATATTCATACGGACTGGGAGCTGAGAGGCTAGAGAGCAGCCCCATGGAAAGGGAGCTGGGGTTCTGGTTGATGACGAGTCGGACAAAGCCAGCAGTGTGCCTGGCAGCCCAAAGGGCCAACGCATCTTGTGGTGCCCCAGGCCCAGCGCTGCCTCTGGGAGAGGGGAGGGGTTGTCCTGCTCTGCTCTGTGCTGTGCGGCCTCACTGTCTTATTGTCATGATCTAAATACGGGCTTTGGAGAAGCATAATGCTTGGCTGAATATATGCAAAGGGTTCCGAGCCAACAAACCAATCAGGATCTAAAGCTGAGCCACAATTTTGCTAACATTTTTAGTGGAACGGGGCAGATCTCCACATAGCCGTAGCTGTGGTGCTAGCATTCCACCAACAGAACAGAACACACTAACTTTAAAAACAAGGCTTTACAGTTACCAGAAAGCGTGCAGCAATGGTGCTGCATGGAGTATAAAAGATTGCCTTGAGGGTTGCCTAGAAGTCCCTATTTTAGAAGTCTTCTCTATTGCCAGTTCTGGTTCATGCCTGTGCAGATAACAGCAGTTATACTGGTTTACTGTTCTACAAACAAATCTCTTGAAATTTTTGGGTTTTTTTCCCCTAAAGAATGTTAAAATCTTAACGCAGGACCTGCTGCATGGATTGATAGCATTGCCCTTAGCCGCTCACGACTGATTATGGAGAAAATTAAGTATTTTTTCCCCCCAGCATTCACTCACAGCTAAAAGGATATATCTTTACAAACTTAACATCACTGCCAAAATGCACCATCCTATCTCTTATAAGGCCATAATTCGTAACTAGTTTGCTAGGATTTACATTTTCTGTGGAACATTATCAAACTATTTGCATAGTAATTAATTTCTATCCCATTGGAAAAGAAATAATCAGAATGACAAGAGATTATTTTCTTCAAGATATCAAGGAAATAATGTGAAGAATATTTGAGAATTAAAAAAAAAAATCTTAAAGTTTGAATTTTAAAGATGCATCACAACCCACAGCCAACACTGCTGCTATTTGCTTTTGAAGAGACTTTGTGTGTGCAAATGAATGGAAAATGAGAATGACAGTTCCAAGATCAGCTTAGATGCTACATAACAGCCTCTGGTCTGGAGGCTGAGTGAGTAAGGGTCTCATGGTTTTGCCCTGAGGTACAACCAGAGTTTCAGAATGATGGAACTTATTTGACTGTGTCAGCATTAATATACATAAATGCTGAGGCCTGCCCCCCATGATGGTTATCTCTGTCCTGCACAGCACAGCTCAAAGCTTGTTCAGCCTTTTCTGGAAATAAGAACTTAGTCCTGTATTGCATTCCTCATTGTAGTTCGTGTGATATTTCTACTGCAGCAAATCATGTAGGGATATTGGAAATGTATTTTAAAGACTAAATAAAAGTTGAATTTATTTTACTGTTTCCAAATATGTTTTTCAGAGCTGGTATTAAAATTAGAATGATATATTTTTTCTACAGAACATGACAGAGTATTCTTCCTGGAGAATAAATGTCCTCGTTATCAAATAAGCTCACCAAAAAATGTCAGATAAGAAATTCTTTCTCTGAAAAATGTTGGCTTTTCAGAACTTCTTTAATTATAAAAATTTATGGAAGTCTGAGTGCGAGCTCTTAGAACTGGTCTGACAGCATCCAACTGCTGCCTCTGTTTTTTGTCTTATAACTTGGTAACTACGCTGACACAGAGATGTCCTGTTGTTTAAATGTGCTATTTTGCAGCAATTGCTGTAAAAGCCCATCTGAGTCAGAGGCTAATCGAACAAATCTACCAGATGAAGTATTACACCAAGTCTAGTCAAAAGAAAGTCTTCTCTTTCCATGACTTCCACACCCCCGATGCCTCTCCCTTCCCATGCAGTCACTTCTACCTTTTCTATCTCTTCCTCTCTCTTCTTTCCATCTCCCATGGTACGAAATTCCTCTGGGATGTAGAGACCTGGCTTCAAATTAGCCAAAGGTGAAGGTAAAATACTACAGAGTATTTTCCAACCCACAAATAAGGTTCATATGGGTTCAAAGGATTCAGAGTTCAAACCTTTGTGGAAATGTATCAGGAGATGTGAGCCAGCATCCTTGAAAGCCAAGGCAAGCTTTCATGGGAGCAGTGACCTACCTGATAAACAGGACATGACTGTGAATCCCCCCATCAGTCCATTTCCTTCCCTTTGCCCAGAGGTAAGCAGCTCAGTGCAACAAAACATGGAACTGAAGTGCCAGCTTCTTTCTGTTTCCCGCTGGTTATTTCAGATGCTTGTTTCACAGAGCACACTGGCTTTTGCACAGCCCACCCTCAGATGTCACCATCGCCAAGCAGTGCTCAGGGAGCCCAGGCACCCAGAGCAGGGTAATCTGATGGTCTCCCTACGCTTACCTGGCCCAAGCATTACCTGGTGTGGATATGTCATCTTCACCTTCCCCTCCTGCCTTGACCCTGAACATGATTTGTCCGCGTTTGCCCCCCTGGTTTCTGAAGGCTGGGCAGACTGGGGAAACTTAATGCCTGTGTCTGGGCAGAGGCAGGGAGCGAGGCACCGAGAGGAGGGGTCATTTTAAAGAGCACTCGAGCTCAGGCTGCGGTCTCTTTTGCTCGCTGTGACAGCAAAGGGTCACAGTAGAAACCGCAAGCTGGGACTTACCAGGTGGCCTCTGATCTTCCTCTCTTCTTTTTACCACCTTTCCTCTCTTTGTCTTCTCATTTTTCCTAGGAAGAGTCAATTTCACTGGCAGCGTCTTGGACAGCTCTGAGACAACCTATTTCTGAGGAGGGTAAGGGGTTTTTAACTCCTCACGTTGGTAGCGTTTAGAAGATAGCATATTAAAGGGGGGAAGGTCGTGTGTTTGAGTGTGCTGTTTGGGGACCGTCAGCGTCCTTTGGCATGAGTTGCTGTTAATCTAAAGTAAATCAGGTGAAGGCAAACAGCTATAGGAAAGAAAATCATCCAGGGCTTTCAAAGCTCAGCAACAAGGAGTTGTAACAGGTTTGTTTGGTTTGATTCGCTGGTTCTGAATCTCCTGTTGCTTGTACGTTTATGCACTGAGGTAGCCAGTGCAATTGCTGCTGATGGAAAAGTAATTTTCAGGAAAAAAACTTTGGAGAGTGGACCTTTTTTAACAAATTAAACACATGCTTTGAATATTTAAATAAGGTCTACAAGGAATACAGTATTTAAGTAAGCTCTACAAGTGAAGCAATAAACATTAAGTGACGTATTTATTGGAATGTTTAAGTTATGGGCCTCTAAAAATATGTAGAACTACAAGTCTGTCTGCCAAAATAATACATTGCCTTGCCAGCAATAAACTTGTGGCTATTAGTATGTCCAAAGACACCCAATGGTTCTGTTTTGCTTTTATTCTATGTCAATGATTATACATTGCAGGGCAGGCAGCATAGTTTTATTGCAAAAAGGTGCATTCAACAACCAAGTGGACTAAAGCACCAGATGCACCTCCGATTGAACCTGTCTTAAAATGGCAAGCTGCTGGGAGGCTGCTATTCCTGGAGGTGACTCTGATAGCTCTCAACAGATGCAGCTTCTGGAATGCAGCTGGAGGGGGGGAGGCGGGGAGCAGCTGACCCCAGTGCTGGCACCCAGACATTTGGGGACTGCAGCTGACGTCAGCATGCGCTGACACTGACACTTCCAGCACACATGGCCTTCTCCCTCTCCTGCTCTGCACGCAGTCGTCACCCAGCAGAAGAAGAAAAAAATGCCTGGTACTCACAGGCAGCAACCATTCCTTTCTAAAATTAAATCAGCATTTTTTTTATGTGCTGTGCACTTAAGGGAAAATCAGTGTGCTGAGACTTCAGATTGAAATGTGATCAAACTTTTTTTAAGTTGATCTGAAACAATCCAGAATGTTTTATCGTGAATTAGCATTTCTCTGTGCTCTGTCTGCTATGAGCACAAAGGTTGCAAAGGAAACCAGCTTAAGCGAGTTGTTTTAAAATTAATGGCTGCATCAAAGATAAATGTTATACCTGTTGTGTGTATTGGAACGCTGATCTCAGCAATTCCGTTTTAACTCTGTTACTGAAGATCAGCACTTTCCTTCAGTGTGTGTTTGCATACATAGATATATATTTAGGAAGCTCCTTTGAGAACTGGTTAAGGGTCACATCACTTGTGTTTGACAAAAACCAGGCTCTTCATTTCAGCAAGAACTGGAACTTGTCCAGAGTTGATAAGTGTAATTCAAATTCAAAATATGCGTGACTTTTTTTCAGATAAAAGTTAGACAGCATCTCTTCTCCCTCAATCTCCAGAAAATCCTAAAAATAACATTATAACCATTTCAAATTACAGACAACAAGAAGCAGAGAGAGGGTCTGTGAGTAGAAGATATTTGCAAATCTGACATGGGAATAGAAGATCATCAGTCTCATAAATTATAAAAAAGTTGAAGCAATTTGGAACGGATTTTAAATTTAAAATCAACATAAGATCGTACCTGTAATTCACTTTCTTATCTTTTATGTTACCATCTCCTTAAGAATTTCCCCACTCTTAATATTTCCTGGTTACACTCTGAATTCGCTTACCTGTAAATCTGTATTAGTCCTGCAGTGAGGATGAACAGAAGTAGGGGCCCATATTTTTCTTATACTTCAGATCT